ATATATATATATATACAGTAATGAAAATTTGTTTGATTTGATCATCAGTCCTTCCTGACGAATACAAATGTTTCTTCTTTAGTCTGCACAAATGAATTGACTAAATATGTTCTTTTCATTGAGTTTAAAAATGTAGAAAGGAAATAAGCATTGGTTATCTGATGTTATCCATGCTGAATATTGTATTAAAGTATCAGTTAGCCACTATGACTCAGAAAAATAAACAAATGCGGATGATAGCATGGAATTGAAATAACCAAGTCTAACATCAATACCATACATTCCTTTGCATTAGTTGTATTTTCCCTGAAAGGAGGCCAAATGCCACTTGGAGAGGTCACCTGTTTTAACCATTTGCACCAGTATACAGTAATGGGTTGTCTGTCAGTCAGTCAGTAGACTCTGAAATGACATCACATAAAGACATTTATTGTACTGTTGTGACATCAATAAAATGTGTGCATGCAATTAATCATGAGAAGATTTATGCATTCTGTAGGCTACAACACAGCATGGCATATGAACTTCAAAAGCAAGAATTTAAAATGTTTGTTATCCTTAATTTTCGTTTTATTTACTCTTAAAACAAAACTTTTGGAGACTGTGCAAATACATCTAGTATAAGAATGGACTTTAGCAGTGTCAAAGTTTTGCATTCTCATTCATGTTTTGGTGTCAGAAATACACAAGAAGTTATCTATAATTATTTTTAAGGGAAATATCTTTACTGAAAGATATATGAAGCTTCCTACAACAATAATTTGTATTTATTTTGTTCTAATATTAAGTTGGTAAATTTCAGCTTGGCTTGACACAGATTGGCTATACACATTGTTAACAATATGTTTAATATTTCAGTGTTTGTATTTGATTAGAAGAGTTATAGAATTGATATTAAGTGATGAGTAAGTGGCATCTTTAAGGTTCAGGAAGATTGTAGCAGATACTGCAAAATAACCTTGGCTGTTGAAAGAGTGTGTTAAAATTTAATAAAATCATTAATATTTTTTTATTGCAACTTTCAAGTAAAGCAAACAGATGTCTGATGGACACTTTCTCCATCATTCTAGTCTTTTTACTGAGTACATCCTGTGTACTTCTATCTGCCTAATTAATCATACTATATTTTCTATTTTAGTCAATGCCATTTTTTAAATTAAAAAGATCTGAGTTACTGAAGTTAGTTATTTATTCATGTAGATTATCAGCTCAAACTTCTGTGAACCTAATGTTTTTGTCATAATTACACTCTTAAAAATGCAAATTTTTTACAAGACAAAACCTGATTAAATTCATCCTCAGAATACAGGAAAATGCATATTTTAGTAACCAGTTTTGAATTTTTCCAGGGGGGGATATACCCCCAGATCACTTAGAAGTGGCACCTTGCTATGCCACAAGCCTTTCACACCCCCCTTTGTTGGAATTATCATGATTCAACATGTCTCTCAAGCAAATCATTATGCTTCATCTCTTAACCAATAGTAGCATGACATGTTCATGTGACGCATGTGACTCCCTCTACACTTCTCTACTGAACCTTCACCTCTCAGTGCTGCCCTCTGTATGTGAACTTTTCATAACACATGCCACAAGCCTTGCACACCCCCCTTTGTTGGAATTATCATGTTCCAACATGTCTCTCAAGCAAATCATCATGCTTTATCTCTTAACCAATAGTATCATGACATGGTCACATGACACATGTGACTCTCTCTACACTCCTTTACTGAATCATCACTTCCTGTTTGGCAGTGGTCGAGTTCAGACGTCTATTTTTGTGCTTGTGGTACATGTGACGAAGAAAAATTTTCTTCCCGCCAGAAGTGGTTTCTTTTTTAACTTAATTTTAATTTCTTTTCTACTATAACCCAGTTCAATTTGTCACTATCTATTTCAGCAAAACTTTATCACTCGTGAGTTATGTTTTGCATTATGAATTCCAAAGTTTGCTTTACCACTTTGGGAGTCACACCAACAACTAATGTTATTCCTCAGGCAACAGGTGCAGGCAACCCGACAGTGGATCTTTCTGCTTGTATATGTCAGTAGATTGAATGCTACATGGGTCAATGTTTGTCCCCTGGCATCGCCAAGATTTCTTCTGAATCGATGGAAATTCTATGAAATGACAAGGATTTTGATCCACTTTTCTCCCCTCCAGAGTTTGCCGTTTCTTCCCATTTGCTACCTGAGGAATCGTCATGGTTTTTGTGTCTCAGGTTTATGATGTTTTATCCCTTTTCCCTATATCTTATTCCTTTGACCTTCTTTATTACATGAATCCTCTTATCAACCATTTTGGTTTTCCTCCATCCCCAGATATTCGGGTACATGCTGATCACATTGTCTTTCAATTAAGTGAGGGGATCATCCTGCCATGCTCCCCGAGGCCATTGGATCAGCACGCTCTTTATTACCATCGTGCTGACTGTCCATTTTGGATCAGCAGTTGTTGGGTTCGTTGTTACCTCTGTGAGGGACAGTTCCCGATTATAGTGTTAGTCTTCCCCATGTACAATATTCCTGCCTTCTTCTTACCCTAACCACCCTTCTACAGTATCTTTCTTCCATACATCTCTCTGAGGCACTCCACAGAAATTCTGAGAAGTTTTTTGTGGATACCCAGCACATTCTCTCCTCTACATTAGCCCACATTTTTTCCTTGGCTTTGGTGTTACACACATGGTTTCTTTGCTGTTGGGACCTTATTGGTAGGGATGCTGTATTGGCCCTGGTCAGTTTACCCTCTCCATATATACAAGACTTACGTCTTGCTCTGTTTTTGTGACGTCATGTCTTTGGTACTGTCCCAGAAACTATTGAGCATCAGGTTCCATCAGCAATCCATCCTCACTCCTTTGTTGCCTGTTTGTCTCAGTTAGAGCCTCATATCCCCCTATTCCCATCTCCCATCCTTCTTCCCACCAACCTTTACCCGTTCCTAGTAGTCGGGGTACTTCTTTTCATCGTTTTCCTCCACGATGAAACATCTGTCGCCCTGTGGGTTTGGGGCTGGTAAAAGCTCTCCAGTTTTTTCCCCTCCTCCTCTTTCTCCTTGCCCCATTTTCTTTCCTCTTCCTACAGATCCTGTGGTGCACTAAAGTCTGACATCATATCTACCAACTTCTTTCTGTGGCAACACGAGCAGGCTGGTTGATCAAACTGGAGAAGTCGTTTCTTCAACCCACACTCTACCCAATCCATCTAGTAATCACTAATATCTGTCATACTATGCCTTCTCCTTTACTTCTTCGTTTCATGGAACTTTTAGTTCACCGAGCCCTCTTGACTTGGTCACTTACTGCTTGTGAGGTTCTATCACTTTTGGGGATGTGGTCCTCCATGACTGCACTTATACCTCTCGGTCGAGCCCACATGAGATCCCTGCAATGGGTGCTTCATGATCGCTGGAAACTTGCTCAAGATTCTCATTCCATCATCATTTCCCTTCCTCCTTCTCTGTGAGATGACCTGCACTGGTGGCTGGATAAAGCTCATACATTGATAGGCATGCCACTTCTTCTCCCACATCTGGATCTAGCTTTGGGCCTTTGGTCTGCAGATGCATCTGTCTTGCATATCAATGATCTCAAACTTCTGGCAGTACACTGGGCTTTACATCACTTCTTTTTTCACCTCTGTCATTGTCTGATGATGGTTCATTCAGACAATTCTATGGTGGTGGCACATATCAGCCACCAGGGGGCATCAGGTCCATAGACCTCTGTTTTTGGTGATTTCAATATCAACATTTCACTCATTCAGTTGCCTCCTTGTTAGCTGGTTCCTTAGAAGTCTACCAACATAAGTGGAAAGTCTTCCGCTGTTGGTCTGCTAACAGAGAATTTCCAGCTTACGAGCCTTCTGTGGCTCATGCTACGGAATTCTCACTTGGCTGTTTGACTGTGGTTCTTCAGTCTCCTCACTTTCAGGATATCGGGCAGCCCTATCTCATACCTTCCATTTTTCCCTATACTGTAAGGTTTTCCTTTTTCCTGTTCTTACTGGGCTCATGCATTCCTTAAGGATTTGACGGCTGCCAAGGCATCCTGCCCTTCCGGATTGGGACATAAGTGTGGTCATCCATGACCTCACTTTACCTCCATTTGACCCACTTTCCTCGTGCTCCTTGTTTCATCTGTCTCTTAAAACTAATTTCCTTCTTTTGTTGGCTTGTGGTCATTGATGGTCAAATCTTTTTGCCATAGACGTATCACATACCCTTATCACCCTACCTAACTTCTCCTTTCTCCCTAAAACCTTGGCAGCTCAGGAGGGTTGTTCATTCTTTTCTCCTATTTCACTGTCTTCTGTATTCCATCTTTACCATCAACTGGATCTGAAAAGACTTGTGTGTTTGGTCAGGGCCCTTCGTTGTTATTTCGTACATACTGCATCTTTTCAGGGAACACGCAACTGTCTATTTATCCCATGGCAATCCTCCTCCCTTCGTGATCTTTCTCCTTCTACCCTTATGAATTAGGTTCACTTTTTGGTTCATTTTGCCTACTCTTTTCCTGCCTTCTTCCTCCCATACCGTGTTCCATGTTTCCTCCCATCAAATCAGATATCTCACCTTTTCTCTTGCTTCTTGTTTTTGTCATTCAGTGGAGGAGATTCTCCAATCCGGCATGTGGACCACTCCCAGTACATTCATCTTCCACTATCTTCATCGTATTGAGCTTTCTGCTGCGTAGGGGTTTTATGTACCACCTGTGGCCATTCTTCAGACTTTGATGCAACTTTAACTGGTCAGTTGTCTTCATTTTCTTTTTTTTTCAGGGATCTTTTCTTTCCCTTTTTTCTCACAGATCCCATTCTGTGGTGAGTGGTGCCTGTCTAGGTGTTCTTTAACTCTAAATCTGCACTGTCCGCCATGTTGACTCCACTTTCTAGTCCATGGCTACGCACAATCATTGTTGAGATTTGGTGTTCCCCAAGATCACTTGTGGATGAATAACCTTGTGATGTCATTGCTCGATAAATATGCCTGTTTTTGACCATACCATCCATGGACTACATGGATAAAGCAGAAGGGGTTTGCTGCCCATCCCTGCCATGCCTCGTGTGAATGACCAAGTATGGTCTGCTTTTCAAAAGAAGGTTTCATGGTCACTCATTGCACTGTCTCTGGTGGTGATGTTCCTCCAGGCTCTCCACCACATAGTCACCCTCATTTCTTCAAGTGAAGTATGGGAGCCCTTGCCACATTCATTTCTAAGCTTCTGGGGTAGTGGACCATGGAGGTACCCTCCTGAATGAGTTCCTCAAACCACTCCTTTCAGTGTAGGGCAGTGGTGTTTTGCTTGTGTATATGCGACGTGGCCTCCAGAGGAGTTGAACTGTCTCTTTGGTAGTTGATGTGGCCTCCTCATCATGTTACACACCAACACTGGAGTTGAGCCATCTATTCCGGGATGTTGTGGTCTGTCACTACCATTTACACAACCAATTGTGTTGAGCCATCGCCTTCTGGTTGACGTGGTCTCCTTATCTGTATTACACTTGCAGGAGTTGAGCTGTCACCTTCTAGGCTGATGTGGCCTCCTGCTACTATTTACAAAACCATCAGAGTGGAACCATCACCTTGCGAGATGATATTGCCTCCCACTTCCTTTTACACATCAGATGGAGTTGAGCCATCCCCTTGTGGGATGACGTGGCCTCCTGATCCACTTTCAGTTCACAATGGAGCTGTGCTGTTGCACTTGCAGTTCACCCTTCTATTGGGTGCCCTCATTTTACCTTCTTGCTGATGTCAGTTTCCAGCATCGAGGTTTTGGGTTAGAGTGAACCAATCAACATAAGTCCTCTCACGGAGGCAAGTTGTCTCTCTTCCTCCCACAATTGCTCCATCTGTGTCTTTCATCACTGTGTATTGGGGTGGTTCCAGTGCTCTCCTAGATTATCCCTCATTCTTCTTCTTCTGGGGATGTTGTTGTCTTTGGATGGTACTGGCTTGTGCCATAGTTAGAGGAGTTGATTCCATTTGATGGACATCATGTATCCATTGCATACCTGAATATAGGTGCAGGTCTTAAAACACTGATTTTTGGGTTTGAGTTGAAGATGGTATGATCTTCATCCTACCTCCACGTAGATGTCAGTGCTCTTTGGGGAGGTTATGGATGTAGTTGGCTTAACAATTACGGTTCAAAGAGCCATAGCCACTCTACACCTTACATTTCCACCCTTGTGCATGTCACACTGTACACAAGGACAAAGAGTAGTGCAGTTCCCCTCTTCTGATCTTCGGATCTCTATCTTCCAGGTTCAGAGGTATCCTTAGGACATTTTTGGGGGTGCTTGATTTGTTCTTTTGCACTTGTCCCTCCCTTTTTTTTCAATGTGGGATTTTAGCTAATTTTGTGAGAGGAGATAAGTATCCATCAGAAATAAATTTTCAGTGTAGGAAAATTATAACTTTGAGTAAAAAACTTAATTAAAAAATCAGATTTTTCCATACAAAAGACTTGTAATGTTTACAAAAAGCTAGCCAAATTTTGTGAAGATACTCATGCAACATTAAGAGTTGTAGTATTTATAGTTGCATGGTTACAAGGTCAGTCAAAATGACCAACCTTAGACCATACCTCATGTTAGAAGGTTAATTGTGATGCTATTTAGAAATGTCAAGTTCTAGGTAACCAATAATTCTTTGTCAGTTTTTGCCATGTTTTTCATTATGTAGAGCTGGAAGTGGTCACTACTGCAATTGGTAAAATCAGTTATCAGAATAGATATATATCAATCAACATCAATGAAGTTGAAATTGATTGGATATATAAAATAGAACTTTCTGATCGACAATAAAGCAATTAAAATTTAAGTTGAAAGGCAGTATTTTTAATGCTTTTCAAAACAGTCTCAAAACAAAATTTTGGAAATTTCACAATATAAAAAAATATATAAAAACTGAATCAAATTAAGGGAATTTTTTGAAGCCATAACTAGATACTATTTAGTAAGCTAACTTGTACTGAGTTTCATGTAATTTGGTTAAGTATTTTCCTAGTAAATATTAACAAAATCCAAGAGATGTCATTGACTCTCCTCAAGTCCAGAAGGGTCTAATACAATTCAAGGACTTAGCATTTGGAGGATCATCGTTGATGAATGGCTTCAGAACACTGTTGCTTACAATATTAATGGAAATTATTTCATATTATTCACTTTACTGTAGTTGACAGATCAAAAAATGTTCATTGTTGTTAGCGTAAATGAACCCAAATTAAATAATACTCTGAGGTAGATTAAAGGCCAACATGGATATTTAGTTTTTTTATTGTTATTTTTATATAGTGCCATTGTAAATTTAACTATAGTCTTTTGTTCAGATATGAAGACTGCAATTGTGTTAGAATATGTATAAGTTGTTGTTTTTATGTGTGAATTCTTTATGATTTCAGAAAGTTAATAGTGCCTTGGAAGACACAGCTCAGCAAGTTCTTCAAAACCTCCCTAGGTGAGTTATCACTATACTGGGTATTATAAGTCTAGAAAATGTTGTTTTTTTACAGAATCTTGCAATGATGAAATTTGTTTGTTTACTTACAAGAGAAAATTCTTGTATCTTAGGGTTCTAAGAGAAGTGGAAACAATGAGACAAGAAGCAGGACTACTCCAAGAGCAGATGAAAACAGTAAAGGAGGATTTTATAAAAGTAAGACAAAAAAATAATGATTAATTAATTTTAAAAAACTCCTATAGTTTTTATTTTTCCTTGTTAAAACTTACTGAAGAAAAAATATGGTGTAACATATTAACTGTATTGGACAGTTTAGTTTAGAACTAGGGGTTGCAGTCCCAAAGATTTTTCTAAATCCTGAGATTTGGGGATTTTATTGACTTAATTCCTGGAATGCCAGTTCCATTTTGTCTTAATGATGAGTAGACAGGAGATTGGTAAAACCTCAAACATTTACATGAATAATTTTGTTATTAATATTGTTCTCTAATGTTATGAACTTTTGAACCATATTACTTTTTGTATTTTAGTCACCATCATCCATAGTTTTATCAAATAATTTTAGTATAGGCAACTTTCTAACTATACTTTCTAATTTTCTGTTAGCTTTAAATGAAGATTAATCAAGAAAACATATTGGTAAACAAATTTTCTTTCAATTTGGTTAAGAATCACCAGTGTAAGAAGAACAATGCAGAGGATATCAGTGACACCCCTCTGATCCTGAAAGGGTTAATACAATTCTTTAAATCCCTGGGATTCTCTTCAAATAAATCCCAGGTTTTAAGGATGCAACCTCTATTTAGAAATCAAAGCAAATCCACCAAAGAATTAAACTGAAGAAAATCATTATTAATAAATTTGTCAACAAAAATTATCTGTCCCATTTTTATCTTGAACTTTATAAAGTTTTATTTTAGAAACTAGTTGTTAATATTAAGCCTTAGAATAACTTTGTTTTTGAAGAGTACATATATGTATATTTGATTGGATTATTTGATAACGCAAAAATTATCCTCTCATGTTTAGGTGGAAAGAGATTCGACCACATCCATGAAGAATCTACTGAAGATTGATACTGTCAAATCTAGAATGCAGGAAGCAAACAAAGCCTTAAGAGTTAGTGTAACTTGTAAATGATGAACGTGGTTTTATGATAAGAATATCAAGATCAGAAGTATTTCTAGGCTACTAGTGAAAGTACTGCTCGTGTTTCTTGTAATGTACGGCTGACTTCAGTCAGTCTTTACTCAAAAGTTCCTTTACATTTAACACTGATCATATTAGCTTAAAGCCAATATCACATTGTTGTTACCCAAGCGAAAGTTCATTAACTTGTGGTACAAGTCTGCACCCAGAATTATTTTGTTGTAGGAGCTGAACTTTCTAACTAGAGGGCATGAAAATGTGTTTAACCCTATCAACCCGGGTACCCTTTACTGCACGTGACACAAGGTTTTAGTGTCTTACATTCAAAATGTTATTAAGCCACTTTTTACTTCTTATACCAATCAGAAAAGCATAAAATCTTAGCTAATAATTCGTATTTTAATAGTATACAAGTTTTAAGTTCTTAATTCTACAAGGCAATATTTAAAAAAATCCTGAATTTCCACTAGTGATAATTATAAATATTAAATCTATAAAAACTAAACGAGTACAAAAAGGTCAGTCAACTTGACCGAGCCCATATTGAGAGAGTTAAGGAACATGATAATTTGAATCAACTCAACTTTAACTACTCTAAATTAGATTTTATAAAACACAAATAAATAGTAAATGAATGTGAACCTATGTACAAAAAACTGTTTTTAAGAATGTTTAACAAAAAAAAAAATTCTCAACTTGGAAAAAGTATCTATATAAATATAATAGTACTGTCTGCTGTCTGTCCATGTAACTGCTTCACAGGGTGTGGATGGATCTTCACCAAAATTGGTATATGGAGGTTCATTAGATCCATATGGGGGTGCATACAAATTATCAGTTTTGTGGTTTTTATGGACATTTTTGCATTTTTTACCACTACCTCACCTCCTGTTGATGTATCTTCACCAAATTTGGTATGGAGATTTATTGGGTCCGTGGGCAGATACATACAAATTTTCAATTTTGCGGTTTTTATGGGCGTTTTTGCATTTCTTACAACTACTCCACCCCTGTTGATGGATCTTAACCAAATATGACATGAAGGTTTGATGGGTCGATGTGGAGATACATGCAAACTTGCAGTTTCATATTTTGTGTTTTGCCGTTTTTATGGGTGTTTTAGCATTTTTTACAATTACATATATGGGAAGCAACTTTTCTTGTCTTAAGATAATCTTTCATTAATCATGAATTTACATAAAGGTGCTGCAGCTAGTAAATATGTAACTTGGTAAAAAATATTATTTTTTAAGTAATGTTTGAATATAACGATTTTACAGATATCATACAGCACTCATATAGGCCCTTCCATTGGCTCAGCCATAAGTTTCTGCTCTGGACTTATGATGCTAAAAGTTGGGTGTCAATACTCATGGTGGGCACAACACAAATAGCCCATTGTGTAGCCTTGTGCTTAACAACAACCAAACATTACAAATATTTCTCTTATGAAAGAAACAGTGTACTTTTGAAAATCAATTTAGGGAAAATCATATAGCATAAGTTCAACTGGAGAGTTTCTTGTTGTCCATCCATTGTGGCCAGGCATGGCCTGGTGGTTAGGGAGCTTGACTCCCAATCTGAGGGTCACAGGTTTGAATCCCCATCCCACCAAACATGTTTGCCCTTTTAGCCATGGGAGCATTATAATGTGACGGTCAATCCCACTATTTCTTGGTGAAAGAGTAGCCCAAGAATTAGCAGTGGGTGATGATGACTAGCTCCCTTCCCTCTAGTCTTTCACTGCTAAATTAGGGATGGCTACCACAGATAGCCCTTGTGTATCTTTGTGCGAAATTCAAAACAAAAAACCATCCATTGTAATCTGTTGAGAGTAGAGCTTGCAGAAGAAATGTACTATTCAGGATGGCCTCTTTATATTCTCTTCTGACCGGTTGCTTCCAAGTGGCACAGCAGTAAGACTGCGGGCTATAATGCTAGAAACTGGATTTTGATACTCGTAGTGGGCACAGCACAGATGGCCCATTGTGTACAAACAAGCAAAAAATTGTGTCCAGTTTACCCTGAGCATCAATTTGGTGATGTCAGCCCATCTCACAAATATATTTCTCAACTTGTATCTGAAATCGCATTTGGCCTAATATTAGCTTGTCATATAAATATTCATATATATATACAAAAAAGCTAATACTTAACCATAAAAAATATGCTGATAAATATAAAATAACAAAAAAAGGCACAAACTAAACCTGACACCACTAACAACTCTAGGTTTTGATTGGCTAGTGCTTAAGGCTAACTCATACTGAATATCCGGTTTACGTGACACTAACATCCAAGTCTCTATATTTCATTACACTCATTAAACATAACCCTTTGTTCTCCTGATGAAGAATAGTGAACTATTCGAAAGTGCTCAAGTTTTGGGTCTCATTTGAAAACCATTACAACTTTTGTATGGGATCCTGTGTGCTAACTACTTTATCAGAATTAATAAAAATGGGATTAAAGGAGCTTATCAAGACTTCAAAAATGGAAAAGTAGTTTTTTGTTAGTTATCGAGTTTAGAATTAGATGAGAGTTAGATGTGCCTTTAATAAAGATCAGAGGTTTATGAATATAACTGACCTTTATGAGCCAGCAATAAATACCATAGGAGCCAGGACAGTAATTTTAAGCTAGTGAGAGAGAGGATAGGGAAGTGGTGGTCACCCCCATTTTTCCCTCAA